CCACACCAGATAGTAACTGAAAATCAAAATAAACCATTGCCCAGAGCAAACCAAGAATCATGGCTGTCCTTCCCAGCACATCTTTGTCCGACCTTGTGTGGACCTTCCTCTCCCCTTCTCCCTCACCCAGCCAAACATTGAAAACAACAGGGAAAATTGACAAGAGGACAAGATCCCTCCTCCATAAAGGGCTGCAGGGACACAGAAGGCAAGAACTGAGGCTGGGGAGAAGAGGGGCGGGGTAAGGAGAACGGTGGACGTTTTCAGTTTTGGGTGAGAAAAAAATGATTTGAGGCCACTGATGTATGTAGTGGAGCTTTGGGGCAGGGGCTGGGGGAGAACATTCAAAGATTAAGTTTTGGCTGCCACGTATAGTGTGAGCCTCTCCTCTTCCTTCCTGAGAAACTTCCAATAAGTTTCCACACGTTCTTTCATGATTTAAGTGAGAAGTATGTCTTCTTGGGCTGTGTCATTATGTGCAGATTAATTTTGAGGTGGGAGGGTAGGGTGGCCAAAGACTAACTGGCGACATTGGGTGATAGATCAATTAAGGGGTCACAGAAAGCTGAAGATTAAAAAGGAGCCAACAAGAGGCATTTTTTAAAATGCCAGTTGTGTCATGCCATCCCCCACTTCTCCATTGCTCTCGGGATAAACTCCCAAATCCTTACCCTGGTCTTCAAACCCAGGTGACCTGTCCTGACAGGAGAGGTCACATTACACTCCTCCCAGCTCCTCTCTGTTCCAAAAGGTGCAAATCCCGCCCTTCCTCTGTCCTTGGCCTTGCTATTCCCTGTGTGTCAACGTTTTCTAACCAAACGGTACACTTCTTGAGGGCTCATTTAGCTTTGTTGTCCAGATGACACCTAGAACCGTTCCTACATACTAAGTATCTATAAATAGAAGTGGTCATTGTGAAAGAGAGCAGGAGGGCTGGCCAGTTAGCTCAGTTGGTTAGAGCACAGACTGAGAACACCAACACCATGGGTTAGTTAGCTCAGTTGGTTAGAGCACAGACTGAGAACACCAACTAAGCCATGGGTCGGGATCCCCGTACTAACCAGCCACAGGAAAAGCAGAGGGAGAGAGAAAGAGAATAGGGAAGTGGTTAATTTGTCACAGACTTGGCGAGAATAGAAAATTCCAATAGGAGATTGATGAAATAGATTAATGTCTAACTAAGCATGTGACGGAATGCCACGTAGGTATTAAAATCTTGTAGAAGAAAAACAACATAATACTTAATGACAATGTTTAGAATATATTAAGTAAAAAAGATTATATTATAATAAAACACGTAATATTATACTCCAAAAAGTTGGGTTTTGTTTCTGTTTTGGCAGCTGGCAGGTATTGGGCTCTGAACTCTTAACCTTGGTGTTAGCAACAGAATGCTCTAACTAACTAAGCCAACTGGCCAGCCCCAGAAAA